TATACCTTTTCTAGGTACGTTAGCCTGTGACCACGGAAATTGGCCGAGTCAAGTGATGGATTAGTACGGAGAGATTGAGACAGAAGGAGGTACTGGATAGAGAGACCGGGATGGTTTTTAATGTGAAGACAACAACAACAACAGGAACCCAAAATGACTGTTTTTTTTTAATTTTGACTGTTTTTTTTTTGTTTGTTTTTCTCCCGTCATTGGACTCTGTCGTCTGCCCCTCTGGCCCCTATCCTCCACTTCTACGAGCTAGACGACCCAACCGGGGTCACATAGGAGGGGGGGGTTGGACCCCCTCCTGCGGTTCATGCCTGAGGTATTTTTATCGCGAGAAGGGTACAGCAATCCCTTCCCTCGCGACTTACGAAGTCGATTATGGTTTACTAACAAACGAGCTTTGCAGCGCGTCGCTTTCATCCTAGACCAGTATTTATTTAGTGAGAAAAAACTCTCGTTGCCGGGACTCGAACCCATGACCTGGTCCTTAGCAGGCTGCGAGGCTACCCACTAGACCACCGGGGCGACCGGATACTGTCTGTATGACAGCATGTACGTACGATGTGTCGCATCCACAAGCCCCTTGCGAACATGATGATGTTACGAGAAGTGACGAGGGTGTGTCACGAAGGGGAGCTAAACGCGGGTAGGTGTGCATCCCCACGCCTTTTTCTCCAACCTACTGTACGAGGCTACTACCATCGTCTGCTGCTGGGGTGAGGATTCTCAGCAGGGTGCGACGCACGTATTTTCTGCCTGCTGTCTACTTGAAGGAGCGAATTATTCGCTCCCTGATGTCCGTGTTCCTTGCTCCCTAATGTTCGGGCGCGACGTCGTCGTAAGCTTCGGAGCTACTGCAAGGGCTTCTGAACCTTGTTCCACTCCTTCTCCTGCTGCCGTAGTGCCGTCTTGGCTTCACGGCAATAGCCAGATGCTGCTCGAAGCAGGAGAGGACGGAGGTCGCAGCACAACACAAGTTGCAGGTGGCCAGTCACTATCCGCTTCCTGCGGGATTGCAGATTTGCTGTTCGCCTCCCCAGCAGCATTGTCCAGCGAAACGAGTTTCGACCTCGCCAGCATGCGGGTTGCTCTCAAAGAGGCCGTCGATTCGGGACATGTAGACGAATCAGCAGTGAAACCAATCCTAGTGATGGCGAAGGTTGCCTCGTTGCTAAGTGAGAGCGTCGACAGCAGCGACCAGCTACACGTCTCCGCCAGTCAGGGGCAGGAGGTGAGAGTGGCGACCCTTTTGGCCGAAGGAGCTAAGAAGAATGGTCTCGATGCCCAGGGGCGAACGCCTCTTCATCTTGCGGTCGAAAACGGGCATCTCTCTACGGTGAAGGCCCTGTTGGCTGCCGATCCGGACACCAGCGTCCACTACAGGATTTGGAACAGGAGCTACTCGGTTCTCGACTTCGCCGCTCAGAAGGGGGACGCGTGTGTTTTGAGGGCGATACTCCAACACGGCGTCGACGTGAATCGTCGCACAGACGGCTACACCAGCCTTCATGTCGCCGCCCTCAATAACAGGGTGGCCGCGATCGACGTGCTCGTCGAAGCCGGTGCGCACGTGGAGGTCGAGGACGACGACGACTGCACACCGTTCCTGGACGCTTGCAGCAACCATTGCCACGAGGCCGCCTTGGCCTTGTTCAAGCACGGGGCAAACATCGAGGCGAGGGACATGCGTGGCGAGACGCCTCTGATAATCGCGGCCAGACAGGCCGGGAGGCAAGGCGTCACGGCAATAGTTGACATGCTGCTGAGATGCGGGGCCGACGAAACGGCGCTCAATCCGGACGGTCGGACCGCAGCCGAGGTAGTCGGTCACCATATTGAATACGCCGCATGTCCGCTCAACAAGCAGGACTTGGAGCGCGTGCGCGACCTCTTGGAGAATGCTCCCGCGGACAGGGCGTGGCGCCGCCGAGGATTACTGGTCCTTTGCCGTGCATTCTGGATCAAGTCACGGCGTTTGAGAGCTGCTAGCAGCAGTGCCCGTGGTATTGGACCCCGGGCCATGAGCGTTTCCATAGGTGTACGTGTTTCAGTTGCCGGCGGCGAGTTAAGGGAGGACGACGACAAGGGTAGAAGGAAGCAGGGATGCGATCTCGTCGGTGGCGGCGTGGGCGAGCGTAATGTTCAAGCCGGTGAGACTGCTGCTGCTGCTGCTGCTGCTGCTCGTAATTCACACACTCTACTCGCGAGAGTGCTGGAGTTCGCGGAGGAGGATCTGTTCCGCGCCATCGTGGGTTTCCTGTGAAGGTGAGACGGCACTGCTGTCTTGCTTTTCTCGCAAGTTGATTTGGGAACGATATACTGATGGGGTAAAGGCCGGGCACATCGAAGGTCTTGCGTAAAAGCCGTGTTGTGATGAAGGCGCTACTGCCGGAGCCGTGATTGATACCTTTGAACGTATGCAGTCTGGAATGGGTGAAAACACCATCATTTTCTCACCTACAGCGATCATGTAGAACCGCCAGTGTTTCACAGGTTAGGTTGGCGCCGACGTTTTCAATGTAGTATGCAGACGTCATCATGCATAGGGGCAACGGCGATTTGGCTCTCGTGGGTTTCATGCGTTTTTTTTAGGGAAAGACTCCCTTTAGAAAGTTTGCCTCACTTGGCCCTATCCAAAAAGTGTGAGAAAAAGCATTAGGTGATCGATGGTTCTGAAGGTGAAATTGAACTCTCACGATGGACCCGTTTTTTTCACCCATGACAACGCGAACAGGACTACAAAACTGTAGGTGCTTCCTTCTGGTTGTTGATAGAAAATCGCTCTGCAACAGCCTTGCTCTACGGCATCGACTGCAGAACCTATGTGGCATCGACTTCGGAGTCGCAGAACCTATGTTGGTGGCATCGACTTCGGAGTCACATATCGGTTGTTTTGGAGAAGGACGCCTCGGTGACGTGTATTTCACCGTATCAGAACAGCACAAGAAAGTTTACTGCTACAAGAGTGATGCCGCTACCATTGAAAGAGGCAGTCCGCGTGTGTATTTGTACTCATCGAGCTCATTATCCCGTTGTGCTTCGCCCCCTCGCGCTGTTTGATCTTGCCCCGCCCCCCCGCGCTACAGATACGAACAGGACTTGGCAACAGCCACGTGAGACGGCAAGTGTTGGTCGTACCGCCCTCGTGGTGGCAATGGTTTGTTGTTCTACCATGGCTTCTTCCTGCGGTACCCTGCTAGGTACGGGTCACGAATGGCGCCCAGCATTGTGGAAGGACTTTGTCATCCTCTGTCAACGGTCCTCGATTCGTTCTAGAGGACGCCCAAGGCCAGTCCAGTGAACCATGACATTGTTGTGGTGTAGTGTGAGCACGACTGCGGTGTCAACGTGTCGCGGTTTGTTTGGTATGTATTCTGTCAGTAGCCTCATAACTTACCTTTTGGTTGAGCTCAACCGAGCTGTGCAGATAGACCCCTGTTTCGTGGTACGCCCCACACGTAAAGCACTTTGCATGTGTGGTAAACGCCTTCTGTTCGTCGTCTCGTTCCTGTTGAGTTGTGCCATCCAACCGAGACAAATAAAGCACCATAGTATAATAGTGGTTTGTAGATAGCGGTGATGCGAACAGCATATGTACAAGCATGTACAAATCTTGTCTATCTCATGCTTTACCCATAATGAATCCAAGAGAGAGGGAGCATCGATTGTTTTCAAGACCTGGCCCTCTCCGGAAAGGACAAAGTCTTCCTGTGTGTGTATTTGTTTTTCCTAAGAATAAGTAGCACCAATGGGTTGGTGTCGGAATGTATGTGTAAACGCGCTGGACACGGAATCTAGTGCACACTTTTGCCAATTTTGGAATTACCGGCGTGTTCAGCACCAGGTTGAAGTGAATCTAGGGAGGTCGCTCTGAGGGAGGGGGGTCAACATGTGCTCTGAGGAGAAACTTGCCTTCGTGAGAAGCATTCTGGGGTGGCTGTTTTAAATGTGGACTAACCTCGAAAAAACTGCATTCTGCGATGGTCGACGTGACCCTTGAATCAAGGCTTGCGAAAAGCGTCCATCTCTGTCATCGAATTTTTGGATCACCTCTTCCTGTGGGAGGGCTTGCTTCCTCTTCGTGTAATACCACAACGGGTGTTGTCCACGCCTTAAGTTTGAGAGTACGCTGCTGGAAGGGTGTGGTGTTCGGGGCAAGAGGAATAAAATTGGAACAAAAGCTCACGACGCGAGACAAAACGAGAGGGTTCCGCTTAATGTCAGCGACTCCAGGAGAAGCAACGGCTGCAACTTGCCATTGTCAAGTATGTAACGCGAACGATGAAAAACATCTTCGAGCAGGAGTGTCTTCGGCGCCACAACCGCATGCAGCAAAAGGATTGCTGCTGCAAAGGTTTCGCAAGTAATGGCCCAGAAGGAACGAAGTGCAAATATTGCCACCACAACGCCCAGGATGGACCTGTAATTGTCGACGTCCGCACCAGAACAGAGGTTCCGCTAAACCGCGGTTGCAACCAAGGGCGCATGCTCACGCAGGGGACAAGATTTTATCGACCTATCATAGAGCAAATATTAGGAGGTTGAAGCTGAAACAAAGTAACAACTAGAATCGCCGGAGGTCAAACTGTATATACAGCCAACGAGGAACACACGCAAGCTGATGAACAGGGCTGCGCGTACATACATCTGTTTCGATAGCACTAGAACAGCTGTAGGCTGAAATTGCAATCAAGATCAAGCGTGAGGTTCGTCGCGAGAGGGATGGTGGAGACATACCCCTTCTCCACACCGAACGTCGCTCGAGTGCCGTTGAAAACAGCGCCAAGAATTGTCTGTTGTTGGGGATGAAAACCCTACTTTTTCGACCAAACCAGAGCACGGGTGTGTGAAAGGCCGGTGTGCGAACGAACACTGCACCGCAATGCTGCCTATTGCGATTTCGACGTGCTCGTACAAATGGTTTTGCGGGATCTCTCGGCATTGCAGGGAACGGGTGGGGACCTTTTCGCATGTACTGCATACGGCCTTGACACAAAACACACACCACGTGTTGGTGTTCGTGGACAACAACTCGGAATTTATATTTCCATAAAAATTGGGTAGTTCGCTTGCAGGAGGCGGGGGGATCTGTGCGAGGCGGTTTCTTCTTTTGTAGCTCGCGTGCGCCAAGGCCGAAGGGCAAAAGGTGCGGGGTGTGCGTCGCCTGAAAACTCTTCGTATTTGCCAACACAACGCCAGGGGAGCACTCGTTTATCAGCAACTTGTCAGGGGCAGCAGTAGTGCAAGGTGACCATCACAAGGTCGATGGGACTGCGTGCAAACGGGCCGCGCCCGCCGCTCGCAAGCGTAATGCTGGCTAATTGTTTGTGCTCCGTTTGCCCGACTATGACCACGTGTCGCTCTGACGAGCCCCAATCGTGAAACGCATCGATTTGAATGTTAGCATCGGCAACAAGAGCCTTCTTTCTTGCTCCAACAAACAAAACGAATCTTTTGTTCCCCCGTATTTACTGAACCCCTGCTTCCCCCATAATCGCGGAACATACGCATGGACAAGCAACCAAGGCGTCAGGCCGACACGAGATGAGAGCCCGTAGGTTCAGCGAGACAATCGTTCTGTGGAATGGTTTGGGAAAAATCGTCTTTGAACGAAGGTTGTTGAAGCCTTGAGCGCCTGTTCGTGGCCTTGAGGTATGGTATTGCTGAACGAAAACAGATGAAAATTGGCGACAATACTCCACACGTGTCCCAACGAAAACATCTCGGTCGAACAATACAGAAACACGAAAATCCATGTGTACAAAAGTGTCTACTGTAAGTACCTTGCTCGACCAAAGCAACACCATCCAGGCTCTAATCTGTCCTTGGCGTGCCCACTCTGAACGAACGACGACTTGACCGATCACGATCATCGCTGAGCTACGTATGTGCCCCCATCGTCTGAGCCACAGCAATCAACACACACCAACTCTATTCTCTCTCTCAATACATCATCAAAAGGACAACAACTCCTGCGCTGTTGTTGCCTCCAGAACGAGACCCCACAAACAACCAGTCAACGACATACAACAACCGGGGAGCCCACGACCTGAACGACATGGGAGCGTGCAGGGACGCGTGCTTTGAAAGCACCGCCACTGAGAATTAGAGGGCAAAGAACATCCAATTGGTATGCATACGCGATCGTGATAACGCACTACCTTAACGCTCACTGGATTGTGACGCAGGAAACAAGCGAATCCAACACAAGTTGCCGCCACCAAGTCAGCAGCACACACCTTGACAGCATTTACAGACTGAGTTACGCTGTCCGAACCTCGCCTTCTCCTCCCTCCGTGCTTCCTGCCAGTCCAACAAGCTCGAAAAGGGCAAATTCAACGCATAGGCCCGATGCCTACTCCTCTTCCTCGCCAGTAGCAGCAGCAGCCTCTTCGCCATCGCCCTTCCCCAAGAACTTGGCGACCGCGGGAGTCAACGCCACCGTCGGCGGGAACCGGATCGGCGAAGCCGCCTTGTGGATCGCGTATGCCACCGCAACCGTACCAGTCGTCTCCGCCGAGGCGCTCGTCTCGATGCCCACCTTGCCCAAGAGCGACGCCATGTCGACGCCGTTCGAGACCGCCACGAAGCAGATGCCAAACGAGACCAGGGACAACGAGATGGATGTGATGAGGTAGGCCGAGCCGTACTGCTTGAGAAGGTCCTTCGCCGTTGTGGTTGCCGCCCCAGCCTCTCCATCAGCATCCTCCTTGTTGCCGTCCTTCAACGCCTTGAACAGACCAGCCTCGAGCCCATACTTCTTGACCGTCTCGTCAGGGCCCAGCTTTTCTACCATGCCAAGGGTGAACGAACGCCCGCCTCGGGACACCGCAGACCGAGGCAAGGCGACAGCACCGACCGGTGTGGGAAGGCGTGCGATGGTCCCTGGTCGCGATGCTGCTGGGCTGACGAAGCCTGATGAAGACTCGATCAGAGCTGCAACAATCAGCCCACGCGCGAACATGATCATGATTCAAGTGCCGATTCAACGCCTTCCGAGTAGCGCAGGACTTGGTGCCACGCCCAGGTGCTTGGCAGCTTTCTCGTCAATAGGTCGTGGACTCGAGTACTGCTGTTAAGCGAGGAGTTTTGTGTCGTGTGGCAAGTCAGCGCTTCTTGTGTCTGTGTTGCTTATCTCTCCCATCATCTCCCGCATGAGAAAGGGGTGCCGCAGTGCAAGTCTAGTGAGGTAGGGGGGGCGGGGGGGGCATTTTCGGCGGCTCTGGTGTGGTTATCGCGCCGCCATACCATGTACAGCGAGCGCACTTGCACGTTCTTGCTGCTCGTACGACTCAAGACATTGGCGAATGTAAATCTGACGTTGCTGCGCCACAATGAATAAAATATTGCTACGCGGTGGCCTTGTTCGGGCAACAACGCGGAGCTCAGGCTCTTCCTTTGTCCAGTCGACTGTGCGGCGTCACTCATCCGCTGAGGAGGTGGCTCGGGAACGCGCCGACCACGACGATGACGTCGTAGGGATGGGGCACGCCGTCAACACCACCACCTCGGGCAGCCCCGATGTATCGCTTCGGCAGGTGGACGGCCCCAGGGAATACCGTGGGAATGGCGTGGTACCACCTGCGTGGTCCAGTTTGGCAGCCTCAAATACCCAGAGGAGGACCTCCGCCGACAGCAGCACCAGTAGAACGGAGGTGCGACCAAGCTCGTGGGGCGGCCTCTCGCGAGATCCCGAGAGAGCAGGTCCCGCTGCTGCTGTGTCAGCCCCTGCCATGGCCCGGGGCGCTCTGAACGGCAGCAGACCTCCCGCGTCGTCGAGGGTGACCCGAACTATTGCGCCCGGGTCGTCTGGGAACGGGGTTCAGGCCGTCGTTGCGCGCAACGCTGTTCCACAACAGAACCACAACTCCAACAGCAGAGGGCCGGCGCGTAACCCGTGGGACATCAAGCTTTCGCTCGAGCCAAAGTCCTACGGCGATGGAGGGGGCAGCAGCATTGCTAGGCTGGGCCATCCGAGCGGGATCGAGGCGCAAACAGTTGTTGTCGGTGGTAGTCTGGGGTCAGGCCATCCGAGACCTTTTCTGAACGGTGCCTCCTCCAGCAACATTGACAACAAGGTGAACGTCACGCATCATGCATCGGTCGTGCCAAGAGGCGTGCAGGCCGTGTGTTTCTTCGCATCGCTTTCTCTACGTGGATGGTTCGATTCTGGTAGACGGTCTGTTGCATCGACCCAAAGTCCGTGCGTTGTAAGGCAGATGGTATACATATACATGAATGTTTTGCGTATTTCAAACCGATACGTCGTGTCCCTGAAACACTCTCACGTGTTATATGGCGAGGGCTCGCTGCTCTTCGCATCGTTGCGTCCTATGTTGCCTTTTCAAGAGCCTCATCAAACTACTGGTACACAGTTTTATCTATTACGGCCGGAACGGCCTTTTCTGGGCATTTTCTGTTGTCAGCAGAGCCGGCGTGATGTTGGCGTACTATTACACATGTAGCGCTTGAATATCGTCATGTTTTCTTGATGTTGTACTGCACAGCAGTCGCCATGTGCAACAAGAAGATCATGATGTGCGACAAAGCATTCGCGATGTGGTCGAGAACGCCCTTCAGCTCGTACTGCAGTGCCAATCTCTCTTACTTCCAGAGGATATCAGAGCTCGCGTTCCTTGCGGTTATCGCATTTGGACAACGGTGATGGCATGCTCCATTGCTTCGCTGTCGCTGGGTGCCGGAACGATATTTTTACCCATGCCGATGGAGAACATCCTCAAAGCCACTCTTGATTTTTTGTCGTTGATGGGGTACATCTACTTGTAGAGATGTGCTTCTTGATTAGCTTAGGCTGCGTCAGGGACGACAGCAAAAAGATCCCCATCTCTCTCGCGGATCAGTCGTTTCTTTCAGAATGAAATCGCGACATGTGCTTAGTGCTGTTTTGCTATCAACCTTGTTGATACCAAGCCAGACACGTGCCTTGTACTCGCAGAACACTTCCTTGCACTGCTGCACCTCACATGCCGCACGCAAAAGGACTGGCCAAGGTTTTTTGTGGGACATTGAAGGCGCCTTTCTCACCCTTTGGTGTGTTGCACCTCGCCGCCTTTTCTCGACAAGCGCAGGTATCACCTCCAAACGCTTCACCACCAGCAAGCCGGATGGCTATGAGCTTGAATGGGGACGACGAGGCGCGCCGCAGGCCGCCAATTCATGGGCGATCAGAGCAGCGGCGTTTGGCAGCCGCGCAAGAGAAAAGAGCGGCGCAGGCGGCGGCACAGGCGAGCTCGCTGCCCTGGAACTTGCCGTTGGCGAGGGAGAAGAACAGTTCGGGTATGCAGGAGCAGCGGAAGGCGCTGGACAAGATGATGGGAGGGGGAAGGTACAGCAGTGGCACGTGATTTCTTAGCGCGTATCTTGGTCTTTCGTGTCGCTTGGTTGGTGGGTACGACTGGTAGTCGACGGAGGCAACTCACTCGTCCAAACAACTCGCGATCACCTGGTGCCACTGTTTCGATCATCGTCTGTTGGCAACTTCTCCGACGACCTCACCCGCAGAACTTGACGTGATGACCCCTTGCTGGTGCGAATACTGAGTTCGCGTTTCTGGTTTGCTCTTGCTGACGACAACTGATATTGTGGTCGCTCTCGTTTCGTGGGCGTACCCACAGATATGGTGGGTCACACGCGGCACACCGAGGGTCGCAGGGAGCTTCAAGGAAGAAGAACGACGTCAAGGTCGTTCCCAAAGAAGTCCAGGTGAGATGAAGAGTCCCATTGCATCATCGCATGGAAAATAATGCAGCTGCAGCGGTTGCTGTTTAACTTCTGGTGTGGCATCCACCTTTTAGTAGTTAATTCCGGGATTGATGATGTTTAGCGGCATTTTCAGCATCTTCACGTTGAGATATCCCCTGCTTTTCCGTTGCTTTTTGTTCAGATACCCGCTGTAGCGGTGACTGTGCGTGAGCTGGCCGTGGCTATGTCGAAGAAAGCTCGCGAGGTGGTTTTCATGCTGAGGCAGATGGGAGAGAGCAACGTGTCGCCGTCGTTCATGGTGGAACCCGACATCGCGCAGATGTTAGCCAAAGAGTTTGGGCTGCGCACCAAGCTTCTCAAGCTCAGAGATAGGTGAGTGAAGCAGCCTCTATTTCGCTTTCACCTGTTTTTGCAGGAGAGGGATAAGTGAACAGTGGAATTCCCCTGGAATATTGTACGAACCATGTTGTATGGTATGGATGGTTGACGGAGAGGTATCTGGCAAGCGTTGTTATAATTTTTTGGAGGCGATGTGCTGCTGCGGGGTATACAACCTTGGTTGGTGAATTGCGTCGGGCTGTTGTGCCAAGTCTGGTGGCAACGGCGGTAGTGTATGGCAGCTCTTGATATGACAATGACCTAAGCAGAATACGTATGTTCGATTTTTCAGGGCTAAGAGTGTTGAGGTACCACGCTCTTGAACGAAACCAGCAGTCGGCAATTTTGCGATGATATGAGGGACGTGTGGAGGGAAATAACAACAACCTAAGAATGGCACCGCAAACATCAGCATTTCCAACCATCGCCGCAGGGCGCCAGGGCACAGCAACTCGGAAATGTCTCTTCTCACATGCCCCCCCCTCAACTCCTCGGATTCGACCTGTTGTCGGCGAGTCTGTCGCCCGTATTCTCCCGTCATTGCCACTGCCTGCCGCCGCCAAATGACCCCCCCACCACCACCATCCCACCCCGCCCCGCGAAAACTGCCCGGCCTCATGACGAAAACCGAAAAGCGAACTCGGCCGGACAAGAGTAACGGAGGAGACTTTCGACAGCCTCGAACCCCGACCTCCCGTCGTGAGCGTGATGGGGCACGTGGACCACGGGAAGACGACTCTGCTGGACGCTCTCCGAACGTCCAAGGCAAAGGTCGCCGGCACGGAGGCAGCGGGCATCACCCAGAAGATCGGAGCCTTCTCGGTGGAGGTGAAGGACTCGTCGGTGACGTTCTTCGATACTCCGGGGCACGCCGCGTTCAAGTCGATGCGCCACGCGACGTCAAGGCTAACGGACATCGTGGTCGTCGTCATCGCTGCGGATGACGGGGTCAAGTCTCAGACTGTCGAGGTAAGCAGCCGCGCCACCGCCGCCCCCACCGCCGCCGGCTAGGCGGGCGTTTTTGGTTCGGAAGATGCTGTTATCCGTAAAGCTTCGGCCGTGGGATGGAGTTTTCTAAATACGTCAGTCTCAGTGCTTCTAAAGCGGAAAAAGGTTCCTAAATACTGTACGGAGTACCAATGTACCAGTGTCTGGGGCCCCGTGAGCGGTGTTGAAGCGTCTCCGCAAGTTTCTGCCGACATTCTTGCTCTTCTGTACTCGAACACGCCCCCACCCTTACACCCATTTGTCGCTGCGTGCCCCCTGCTCGTTTGTGTGGCCCGTTTTGTCACTGGTAATGGTTCTTACCCACCCCAGGTGTTCGATTTGCTGAAGGAGTTTCCCAACTTGGCGCCCGTAGTCGCGGTCACGAAGGTCAGTTGACGGTTTCAACCTTTCTGCCTTTCTCAGCAGTAGGTGGAGGGAGACTGAGACAAAAATGTGCATGGGACAGCGTGGCCCCGGTGGTTTTCAGTATGTCTGATGGGTACTTGCACAGCGGTTCAACAGGGCCGCGTCTGTGTGCGCAGCGACAACAGTGGGCTTTGTTGGTCGATATCGTTTTCTCCGAACCGCGGGTGCATCGGTGTTGCTTTGCCTATGCCGTGGTTGACCAATGCGCCCAGTCCGAACGTGCCATGTTTAGGTTTCTTGCAGACGGAAACTTCCATTCCTGGCTGATGTGCCTTACGAGCTTCAGCAAATTATCGCAATTCCTTATGTGATGTTGGTCTTGGTGTTGGTCTTGATGTTGGTCTTGGTGTTGCCACAGATCGATCAGTACGACGTAGACAAGGAGAAGGCGGTGGACAGGATATCCCGGCAGCTGCTGGAGCACAGCATCACCACGGAGGGCTACGGGGGAGAGGTGCCAATAGTGCCGGTGAGTAGTCTATGAAAGTAAACTGCTGTGGTGCTTCGTGCTCCACCTCACACAGCAACACCGGTATGATCTTGGGTCTATCTTGAAGCGGGCTATGCGTTCGAGGAGAGATAATTGGAGACACGACTGGAGCAAAACG